TCGAATATATTTTAGTAAATTGGACTCTCCAAGAGCATCGTTAGAGATTTTTGTCACAACACATCTTGGGGTTTTAAATTTATATAAAGAAATGTTTTTTAAAAATGGATTTGTATGAACCTTTTTTGTTATAAAAGAGACGTGCACATTAACATTTTGAGGTAAACATCGTATCTTTGTGATCGTTTCTTCGTCAATATCTATGTTTTCCAATATATTAATTAACAAATAAAAACTAATTTTATTGTATTTTTCAAAGTCAATTTGTTCCAAAACACGTGTATAAGATGTGTCAATTCCCAAAGTTACTCGACGTAAGGTAAAGCAATTCAGAATGGTAATGATGTCATTCACATAAATAGGTCTGACTGGTGAAAAATATATAAGTTCAATGAGTTTGTCAAATCGATCAATGTTGGTAGAAAGGCTTTGTATTTCTCTTCTGAATACATACATTTTTCTTACACGTTTTGGATACCATTCTGTGGAAAACACATCAAAAAAATGATTATAAAGTCCATCCCCTTCAATGTCACATGGACAACGTCTAAACTCAAACAAAAAGTTTCCAGAAGTTTCCAAGTCTGATAGGTCGCGGTAAATCTCCATTGGCAAAAATAAAGTTTCGAGACGTGGAAATATTTTTAGAATTGTTTTTATTGGTGTTGTTATCGGTAAACTATAAGGATTAATATATAAACTTTGGGTAATTTCAAACGCCATTTTGTTTATACAAACAAAATTGGTTATATCACTTAAGGATTTCAAATACAACAAGACATTCCGGAGGTAAAAAGGTTCGAGTTTACAAATCATATGATTTTTAAGTTTTGAAAATGATTTAAATATTATATATATATAAACAAATAAAAAACTCGATTATTTTATGTTTAAAAGTCATTTATAAAAAAATAACATACACAAAAATAATACAACCAATAATTTGCTAAACCTCAATATCCTTGTAATTTTTTAGTATTCTTAAAAAAAACTAATGATTTGTTTACAGTCCCTTATCAGTTATCAATGGTTTTCATTACTTTAAAAAAAATATGTAAAATAAATAAAAAAAATGCAATTTATTTTTAAGATTTATTAAATTATACAACGACTTTTTATTAGAACGAATCCAAATAATTTATATTTTTATCTATATAACAACTACATCATTTATATTACATATAATCATTTTATTGATCATTCACTAAACCAGTGTGTTTTTGTTTATATAAATTTAATGCTTATTTGTTTTGTTTTAATTTAAACTGTGTATTTCAGTCAAAACGAGCTTTATTACAAACACTATGTATCTTCTATTATGATAACATTATAAAAAGGGGTGTTTATACTATCTTTTTATAATTATACATAAAAATACAATATAGTTTTAATTACACAACATTGTTATATTAATGTGATCATTTATCACTTCGATGAAATCACGTTGTTGTATAGATATGATTTATTATGCGTTATTGTGTCAAAATTATGTCTGTTGATAATAACTATTATATATAACAATTATAATTATTAAACTATCATAAATAACATGATAAATTATTAATAATATATTAATTTATTTAATTATAAATTATAGTTTAAAGTGTTGTCATTGGTTTTGATTGTGATGTCTTCGCACTTGTTTTTTCTTTGTTTTTTATTATTCCTATACATTTACATCAAGTTTTTTGTTAGTTGCCCAAAAATTCACAATTTGAAAATGAATAAAGAGTTGCAAAATAAACATTTATTTATTAAATACAAATTTTAATTTCTAAATATATTTCATAAAACATGTTTTGCCTTTTGTTTTTGTTTGAAAATTATAATATATTAAATTACAAACAATGAATTCATATCTTGCTTCCTTGACAGTAAAACGACGTGAATTTCTACTATCGACTACAAAACATCATGGTGATCAAAATTTATTTAAATTGACTGTTTTTATTGTCAAAGTTGATTTTATAATTTTTCTCGATTTTGCTATTTTTGAAAATGTATTAAGTTATTTTTGGTTTATTTTACACTTATTTTCTTTAAGTTTTTTTTCGAAGTCGTAACAAACAAAAGTGTCTTTTCGTCTTATCTTATTTCTTTTACAAAAAAATAGTAAAACCCAATTTTTTAAATCATTGTATTTTTCAAAGTTTACAAAAAATCTATTTAATTTCCCTTGTTATTGTTTTTGAGATCAATTGCATATTGAAATTTTAAGACACCTCAAAGTCTGTTATTGATTTTCTTATCTTTGTTGTTTTATGATGCAATTGATTTTGATTATTCCAGACCAGTATGTTTTACGTTGCAATTTTAGTCTTTGTTATATTTTATAATTAAATTTATTATCGTAATTAGTTGTGGACATCTCAATAAATGTTTGATCTGACTTGATTTTGATTCAATATTTTCCATTGAACTGTGACTTGTTTCTGAAAGGATCGAGCAAAAAAAGTGAACCTTTGTTCATCCCAACTTCGACATAATATTCACTTTTTTACTATTATTTATAACACTTTACTATATAAATTTTACTAGAACCGTCGTTTTAAAGTGTCTAGCTTTTTTGAATAAATTAAAGAATAAAAAGGTCACATTTACATTACAATTGATTAAGATTTTTATTTTTTTACAAATTTTGATTTTTCCCGTCCTCGAATAGTTAATAGTAATAGCTTTGATCTATTTTCTAATGATAAGACTTGTGCCATAAAACAGCAACTCGGATCAAATTAATTCCAATTAAAAGTTATTATTAATTTATTGTATTTATATAATAATTTTATTGTTTGATTATGACTAGATGCCTGGAATCTTTGAAAGTTAGACTTTAACTTAGAGTCATTTTAACTTTATTTGTAGAACTTAAAAATACGTTTAAAAGTAGCGAGAAGAGGAAGCGAGAAATGACGTTATAAATTATTTGAAATTATTTCTTGTTTACATAGCATGTTTTTGAATAATTTAAAAATAAATTAAATTCTTGGTTCGTATTTTTTGCAATTTGTTATTGAACTAACAAGTACAGTATGGTCATTAAACCTTATGTGAAACCTTGAGGCTTATGCGATTTTTTTGAATAATTTTTAGTATTATTATTATTATGAAAAACCATACAAAAATAAATCAAATCGTGAGTTATTTTAGTTATTTCCATAAATATTAATAAAACAATCATTTTTATGAAAAAATAACATCAACATCACTTTAGACGATCCAGAACAAAGTGTGTACTGATCAATGTGAACATGGATAAGATTTCTTATCTTAAACCCGATTTGTGGTTTTATGTCTCTTTGTTTTTTTAAACAATCGGGAAATGAATAAAAAATGCTGACCATGGTGTGTAATAAATTTTAAACAGTTTTCAATAAAAACGAGTTATAAGACACTTAACAAATAACTTCTTTAGGTCTGCAACGATTGTGTCTATCTGCTCCTTTGAAAGTCTTCCAGCTGCTACACATGACAGTGCTGTGTTCAAAACTCATTAGTCGAGTGTACAATGATGGTTGCTTCAATTGCTTCCTTGTCGTCTGGTGAGAGCTTTGCTGCAATTTTCTAGTTGAGTGTGTTTTCATCGAGTAGCAGTAATTCTCAAGTCCATTTTTCGCCTCGACTAGTTCCTTCATCTTGTCGTCCTCTGCCTTGAGCTTCTCTGCGTCTTCAACCGTTTTGTCTATTTGCTTCTTTGCAAGTCTTCCCTTGTCGTTTGTAATCCTGTTCTTCTTTTCCCTGTTGTCTTATTTTCGGCTGAGACAATTTGCATCAATGTCAATTGTGACTTCCACTTGTGGAAATCACGTGGTGCGGTTGGAATGCCACTCAACTCAAACTTGCCAAGCATGTTGCAGTGTGATGTCATGGATGCCTCGCCTTCAAAGACTTGAATGAGCACGCCTGACTAGTTGTCTGCATATGTTGACAAGATTTGTGACCAATTTACTGGATTTGTATAGTTCGTATGCCAGTTGACTTGAAGTTTATATACATTAAAAGCTTCTAATAGATAATGATAAAAAAATAATGTAATTGCAAATGAAATGTAAAATTCAAAAAATAAATATTGTTTTGTGATTAACCATTGAATTGATGAGTTGTTCTTCAACTATTTTCAACAACATATTTGCATGTTCTTTGTATTTCATTTAAGAAAAATAATCTTTCAACAGATATGGTAGTCGGAAATATCGTTATTTTAATATAAAAAAATCTCTCCAAATGTATACACCCAATTCTTTTGAGGATATTATGGAAATTGAGTAATGAACACTGGTCAAAATTTCCAACTTTTTTATCAAAAAACTTCTTCCTTTGTTTTTATAAAAAAATTTGGAAGTATTTGGACATATTTTCCATTTAGTAAATTGTCGGGTAAATATAACAAATCAATAAGTCGATCAACTTATCCTTTAGTGTCAAGAAATATAACGGCTTCGTCAATTTCACAAATTTCACTTTCGTATTTGTACAACGTTGTTTTGCTCTTCAATAATTTTTTCAAAGAAAAAATCGTGTATCAATGTATAAAAGTGCACGCTGAATAATACTTGTCACGAACTTCCAATCTTTATCATCACAATTGAATGGTTCTGAAGCTTCAAAAACAATACATCAAATAAAAAAGCATTATTTTTGATACATGTCGGCAAGCGAAAAAATTGTCTTCAAGAGAAGTATATAACTTATTATTGTGTGTGCGTGTGATAATCCAGATTCTGATAAAAAGTTTGTGTGTATTTCTGAAAAAAAACAAATTGGACAGGAATGAAAACGTCCGTTATAAATTATAGTCAATTAAAGTCGTTTATGTGCTTTTAGATACGTTGACAGCGGGGTTTACACCAAGGGTGTACTTGAAGATGTTCATTTTAGAAAGCGTTATGTGGTGAAATAAAAGAGTTTTTAAAATATCATTTTTTTGTTGTGGATAGACTTCTAAGAGATTTTATAATAACATTGATTATTATATTAAAATATATACAAAATGTTTTTGGTCTTTAGAAAAAATTGTTGTGGTTTGAAAATATTTGGATGACATTTTTAATAAATAACAGAAAAAACAATAATTTAAAATATCTTTAATATTTTATCAAAAAAAATAAAAAAATGCTTTCAATTAACAAAAAATTTTTTCCGATTAATTTTTAACTCAAAAGTGAATAACTATCATTCGAAATCCATGCATGAAACCCAAGTATCAAGCCCAACGAAAACCACCAGAATTCAAAGTGGCAGTTATTTGCAATGCCGACCGACTCAAAGGGAGGCTCGAGAACGAGCCCGATTTTTTGCAATATTCAAATCCCCAGAAGAAGAAGTAAATCAACAACAATTTGTGAGAGAACAAGTGGAGATCATGCTGTCTGAGCTCTATGATCTCCCATTTACCCGCAAGGGGTGGATTGAAGATTTTAACGTGTTCATGGGAGGAGGGAGAATCGGGGGTCACAATTGAGAAAGATATTCAGTACTTTGAAAGAACAAGGTGGCATTCCTCTCTTGAATCTCGACGAGAGGAATACTCTCAATGTTTTCATATCTAAGAGACAATAAGAGAGAAAGTTTGTGATTTTAAGGGAAGCGACTGAATTTGTTATAACCACATTTGGGAAAAGTTGACGGTCAAACAAATGTCAAGTGTTGGTAATCTTGATGTTAAAGTGGCAAAAATAATGTAGAAAGAAAGGGCTAAACTGGACCCCGAATTGGTAAAAACGTACTTGAGAAAGATGGATAAGATGGTTAGTGGCAAGCACGCGTCGATGATTTAAAAATCTCGACACAGTTGGTTTCGACCTCTTTGTCGATGGAAAGAAGAAGGCAGTATGTGTTGACACATTGAGTGGTGAAGCGGTCTATACTACATTGGGAGAACGTGGAGATTGAATCACACTTTCCCATCGGTGCATCTACATAATTAAATTTTTTCTTTTTTACACTCGGCATAAAAAATAAAACATCATCTTTTTTTTTCATATAAAACAGAAAAAACAAAGCTCCAATGTGTTAAATTAAAATTGATGAAAATGCAAAATGTTATTACTTTTTTGATTTTTATAAAAATGTTTTATACAATCTAGTGATTTTCAAGATCGTTAATAGGAGAATTATTTTACAATTATTTTCTTTTTGGAAAAAAAAGAAAAATGCATTTTACTTCATTTTTAATCACATAGTTCACGATCAACAAACAGCCAATAACGAGGTACTAAAATTTCTTGTTTTTTTATTTAAAAGAGCAAATAATAAAGTAGTGTCAGCAAACGCAACAGAGAATAAACATAGAATAATAAAGCAGTTAAGAAACTTAGTAACTATATATCCGAGGGAGCAAAGTGGGTTTGTGCAGACAAAACAAGTTAGATAATAGTTCTTTTTTGTTATATTTTTAGAAAATCATAAGAGTACCGTGAAAAATCACTGCGGCGTGAAATATTACTGCGAATTGTTATTGGTTTAAAAATAATGTTAATAAGGGTTTTAAAACATTTTGGGTTAATTTTTTTGTTATTCGAGGCTGTTAAAATGAAAAACAACAATTTTGTTTTACAAAATCTTTTGAGGCTAAGTCAACAGATTGTGCTAAGAGGAAAAATGGTGTTTTTATATACTTTTTATGAGGGTTTTGTTTTTTCCTTTTCCAATTGAAAAACAAAATGTATTTATTTTTTTGTTATTACAAAAAGACAAATTCTAAATTATAGTTTCGAATATCCAAAAATTATTTTATCAAGAAAAAATATGTTTTGATATTTTTAAAATGTGAATAAATGTACTAATAGTTGATATTGATTTACCCGTTACATCGATTTATGAAATATAATTTTATTGAACAGTCGATATCTCCGACAAAATATGAACACATTTTATCAATAAAGTTTTGCTTAATATCGTATTGTTGATGAAGATTAAAAATTATAAATAAAAAATCGTTTTCATAATTTTAAAATCACTTAACAATATAATTTCATTCTGATGTTTAAAGTAAATTCATTAGTTGCTTTCACAATGATTTGTTATTTGAATAATCATTACTCAATGTCTTGTTTATGTTTTATGAAAGTCGTTGATATTTTAAGTAAAAAAAATTCAAAGAAAGAATTTTTTTTATTATTAAAGTATAAATATAATTAAAATATAATAAACAACAAACAAGTGAAATAGTTAATTAACGTGTATTTTTAATTAACATAAATAGCAAAAATTTATAATAAAACAACAATAAATTATAATTTATTTTTTCTGGATGTAAAACTATTTTTAATAATTATTTTCATATAATTAAACTAGTTGATTAATTATGGATATTTTATTATAAATTATCATTATTTTAAAAGAATTAATAGACCAGAACCTTAAACAACTTAATTCTTTCATTTCAACAAATTATTTGGATTTTAAATTGGTGTGATTAAATTATCGACCATTTGAAAACCCCAGGCTCGTTAACCGTTTGTTATCATCAAATTGATTTATACTTTATAAATTTATCAATATAATATGTTTATAACGTGTTTTTGTATTTTTTTATGTTTATTGTATTGCAATTTGTGTTGTTATAATAATTTCGAAGTTGAAACGTTTATTCGATTTTTATAATTCGAGTTGATATTTCTGTGTGTTTTTATATAATTATTATGTTTAAATTTATTGATTATAATGGTAATTTGAGTTTATTTAATTGGAGTTAATAATTTTATTATTCCCAGCATAAAATAACGACTAGCTGAAAAGAAATCAAATAGAGTTTTATAAAAACCAAAGAGTGGACTATTTATTTAAATATACGATGTCCTAACTTATTCGTTTTTGTTATTATGTTTTGATGTATTGTTTAGTAATTTATATTATAAATTGTTAAAATCAATAAAATACAAACCAATATATAGTTTGAGTTGTTTGGAATGTTCCGTTTTACGAATTTACCCTTGTTTTTATCGATAGCCATATTATATAACATTTTTACATAGTAAACATTTTTTTATGTTTTACAAGCCACAATAACATTAATTTGAACCAATAACAATTCGCAGTAATATTTCACGCCGCCGTGATTTTTCACGGTACTCTACAGTCAAAAGCGTCTATTTTTAGTAATTATAATTGTCGAACTTGCTTAATTGTCGCACAATTGGCCAACCATTTTGGTGTACGACAATTATTAAAAAAATAAATATTTTGTTCTCGAATCTGTGACTTTTGTTAAATTAAAAACCAGATTTTTTATTAAAAATAAATTTCGATATCAAAAAGAATTTTTTACAAAATTCACCCATTTACGACATATAGATAAGTTTTTCTGCTGGATTTACGACTAATAGACGCCTTTGAATGTAAAAAGAGAACAGACTTTAACACTTAAAATAACACCCTAATTTTAAGTGTTTTTTTGTTTTGGCCCATTTTTACAGGGACATTAATCAAAAATTTCTTTTTATTTGGCTTGTGTAATGTTTATGTACATAATACAAACTCTAAAAAACATAAAATATATTTTAAACTCGAGATTTTTACGATTTTTAGACCACTTGAATTTTGTTCAATGTTCTTTAAAGTGTTAATATAAAAATAAATTGTTTATAAATATAAATAAAACCTAAAAAATAAACTATTTTGAAAACACCACTTGACAATGGCTTCATACTTTTTATTTTTTATATTAAACCTCATACTTATTCAATTCAATATAATAATAATAAGAATTGGTATATTTAATATAAATTGATATAATCTTAAATAAACTAAATATTAAAATATTAATCAATATATTAATATTTAATTTTAAGTTTGTAATTAATAGTAAAACTCATATATAAAAAAATGTTTTTTTTAATAATTCAAAACCACTTTTCGTTATGAGTAAGTTAGAAATAGTCTATATGATGAATGTTGCGCTTTATATCAACACTGTAGAGTCTCTTAAAACCTTTATGGAAATCAACAAGAAGTGTAGTTCTTGTCTTAGTGGTCTCTATATCAACCCATTCATAGATGTCTCAGTCCAATCTTTTTCAATGTTCAAAGAGCAGCACAAGGCGCTATACACTTCGATATTTCTATTTCTATTAAAGGCGTTCCCCAAAATTGAAACGTTGCAGTGTGTTGATTACATGTTGGGAGATGCCAATAAGGTGATAAATAAAGTGAAGAAAATCCGCCTTGTGAAGACTCCACACAACAGAAATCGGTTATCTGTTGTTGTTGCATGCGCACACAACCACCCTAAAATTGCGCCTCAAGCAATTCTAAAAATAGTGAATTTGTGTGTTGTGACGAAGAATGAGGCAGTTATACCAAATGAGATGTATACGAGTCTTGAGAGTGTGCAGATCGATGGGTGGATCCGCAACAAAGATCTGCTGAATGCGATATTTGGACTTCCTAGTGTGAGAAAAGTGACAATTTGGAATTGCACACATATCAGTTATTTGAACACAATTTGGGAGTGCATTTCTGAAGTCAAGTTGAAGCACCAACACAAATTAGACAACGTCAACATTTCTGTGTTTATTGAGAAAAGCATTTCAACAGAAATATACAGAGAAGAGTTTGAAAGTGCGTTTTTAGCACTCAAACAGTTGGGTGTGAGTGTGTACTACAACACAGAGAATGTGATAGACAACTGTCATATATTAGACGAGTCGCGATTTATTGGTGAAGTTGTTGTCACAAATAAGAAGGGATTGGACTTCGGGTGTTTTAAAAATGATAGGGAATATGATATTGATGTCTATCACAACAGAGAGGGTTATGATAAATGGATGATCAAAACAAGACGTCATAAAAATCATGAACAAGAAGATAGAGACGATGGTGATGATATTAACAATGATGGTAATGAAAATGAAAATGCTATTGATTCAAAAAATGATGAAATTGATGATATAAATGATGATGAAAAAGAAAAAGAAAATGATGATATCACTGACAATGAAGAAGTTGAAGATAAAAAAGAAAACAACGAAAATGGAATTGTAGTGCCAAATCAAAATGAATGGTATAGAGCTGAGTCAAGATATCCAATAACATGCCCACTTGTTTTACTTGACGATGTTATACCAACATTCAATCTACAAAGTCGCCTGGTCGTCAGGTTGACACTTTTTAACATCACAAAGCAAACTATTTGTAATTTGTTTTGTACACAAGTCACAATTGAAAAGTGCTCGGATTTGACAGTCACACTGCGTGGAGTTGATTCCACATGTTGTATCAACTGTTCTGCACTTTCTCTAGTAATAGAAGACTTTGCAAACACATTTTTATTCAGAAATGTTAAAAACTCGACTGTAGAGAGTCACTCCGCATATACAGTGTGGTCAATGGTCCTCAACAATTCTTCAATTATTTCAATCAAAAACACGAAAATAGGAAATTTGAAAGCAACGCAAACAAACAATGTGACAATCGCACACTGCACTTTGGGTAACATTTTCTTCGATAAATGTTCACATGTTTCATTGGACAACACAAACAAACCAATTAAGACTGGCAAAGTTAAGACAAAGTGTTTCAGTGATGTCACCGCCTCACACATTCACGCACTACTCAATGGACATTTCAAAGTGTTAAATTCACAATTGTCACAATTCACTAATTTGCCAACAAACGATCAAATTGCCACACTTGTTGCTTTGACTGACAAATGCAACTCCACCACAGAACAAGAAGTCTCTTTTGATGTGTTTTGTGGAGTTGTGTTGTATGACGGACACATCGAAATGTTGTCATTTGTAAATCAAAAGACAATTCCGCCATTCCTCACAAGTGAAAACGTCGACATCTCAATAAGCATCACGAACAACTCAATCAAAGAGGTCTTCATCGAAAAGGCAAACCACGTGTTTGTTGATTCACAATTTGACATCCAAATAGGTTGCGGTGTTGTTTCTTCTGTTGTATCCGACACGTTGAATGTGGAATACTGCGGTGTTTCTTTTGACAAAAACGTCGCATCTGTTGTTAACAGTCAGACAGAAGAGTCAAGTCAACCAACAACGTCTTTGATACATGTTTGTGGTAAAGTCAGGTTTTGTGGATATCTTGTGAAATTTAATTTGGACAACTACTACTATTTGCAAAGAACGACTCAAAATGTTGAAAACGTTGTTGTCCAAATGAAGAAACAAAAAGTTCTCGATTTTGGACGACTTCCATGGAAAAGAATTCAAATTGAGAACGAGAACAAAGGGACTTATGTTGCTGACAAACTGATTTTAAATAAAAACACTGTGTTCCTCAAATTAATTGGAATCAAATTCAAAACAATCGAATCAAATAAAACAACTCAAATAGAACAAAAAGTCACACAAAAAGTTGTTGTACAAAACACGATGTTTGTCAACACCAAAAAGACGAGTGTGAGTTGGAAGGAATGTAAGACAATAAAATGTGGTGAGAAGGTCGAGAAATTGGTTGTCAAGTCGTGTGAGTTGTTGGAGGAAATTGTGATTGGAGAGAACACACAAAGTGTGCATTTACAGTCGTGTAAAAAGCTCAAAAGAATTGTTGGTAAAATGCGAGGAGTCCAAATTATCGCTAAAAACTGCCCATTCTTGTTATCAAATACAAAACACAGCAAAAGAAATAAAATCACATTTATGCCATAATTACATTTTCAAAGTTGTTATTTGATGGTGTTTTATTATAATAAATTCAAAAATAAAGATTTAATATGTTATAATCACGTTTTTAATTTTATTAACAATCAAACCAATATTTTTATGTGACAAATCAAATGTGTTTTTATTTACAACATTGGTTTGAAATTTGCAATAAAAAACATAAATATTGATTTGTAAATAGGTAATGATCAACAGTCCTTAATTTAATTTTACATATTATTTTCATTAACTTGTATGTACATCATCAATAACATAATTGTTTGTATAACAAGAAAACATATTATTACAATGAATATATCAATAATACAAACATTCTATGTGAAATACAATAAAGAAATAATAATGTTTGTTTTAAATTAGTAACAAAATCAAACAAATATTTCAAATTTTATATATTCAATTAAAATGATAGTGATAGTGTGATTATAACCGACAACTAAGTTGACCAATTCATTTGTATTTGTGAAGAAATAACATACATTTTATTTCAACACACAAAAATAAATGTTTGTGTTTATTCAAAAATATACTATAAATAATAATAAAATTTATGAATAGTATAGTACTTGGATTACAACACCACTGTATTATAAATATAGTATAAATTATATTAAAATATAGTATGAAATAGTACAATTTGAGTAAATGAGAAGATAATTCAAATCAAGACGAGTACTATAGTAAGTAGTAAAAGTAGTTAAATAGTAGTAGTACATGAAAAGAGAGAAGTGATAGGGTTAGTGTATTAAACGAATTGGTAATATCTACTATGTGTATGGTACAACTTAAAAAGAAAAGAAATGAAAGGAAAAGACGTCACGAGTAGCCTTGAGCGTCGTGTGACGACATTAGACGGGTGTTTTGAGCCATTGATGAGTGCGTTGCATGCGTATGAAGAGAAGAGTCGCCCATGTTTGCCTGGAGATTTGTTGATGAAAAGTGGAGAAGACGCAGTGAATGAGATGTATGATGTCTTAGAGAGTGTAGAACGATGTGAATCGTTGTACAGTGCTGTGATGCGAGAGACGAGTCGATGTTTTGAAGTGAGTGAAGATCTGATGTATTTGATTAAAAGTGTTGAAGAGAAGTGTCGGAGTGATTATGTGAGTATTTTAGCGATGAAGAAGAGTGCCATAGTGATGTTAGAAGCAAGTGAGAAACGATTGAGTTGTGAAGAGATGCGAATGAATGCGATGCGTCGTGAAGTTCTAATGACCAAGTTGAGTACAAATGAAGCGGAAGAAATTGCACGACAGAAGACGTGTGAGAAGCAAAAGATGCGGCGAAGTGTTAAGAAAGAGAAAATGATGAAACCAAAACGGATGAGTGAAATTCGAAGTGATGAAGAGAAAGAGTCGAGTTGTTTGAGTGTGACACGACCGGATCACACGACTTGTGTGACACAACAGAAGACAAAATACCCACGAATACTGTTTGGACGAAGTGACAGAACACGACAGAGTGGAGTGAAAGGTGAGAAGATGTCATCTGTTGACAAGAATGAAAAATTGAGTCGTTCAGAGAAGTCACAACGACAACTTGAAGAAGATGAACATTTCTTAAGTGTTGAAGAGAAAGCAAAATTAGTCGTGTGGAGTGGAAGACAACACATGAAAGCGGTGTTTGACAGTGAAGTAGATTGTATGGGGCGTGGGAGTGCAAAGTTCTATAAAACGATCAGTCGCTGTGATGGTGTTGTGATAGTCATAGATAGTACAAATGGGTGTCGTTTTGGTGTGTTTGTAGGAGCAAAAGTCGAGAAGAATGGGGAGTACATCACCGACGAAAATGCTTTTGTGTTTCTTCTTCGTGACAATGGAAAAGAAAAAATGAAGAAATTTTGTATTAAAGAGAAGAAAGAGGCGTTTTGTGTTGGTGTTTTGAATTCAAGTTGTTTGTTCACGGCAGGAAATGAAGACTTGAAAGTACCACGGAAGATAGACGGCGTGATGGAATGCTCGTTGCAAATGAATTCATACGACTATGGCATCGAAAAGTGCCCATTTGGCATGGAAAGACAAGTCAGAAATTTGGAGGTCGACAAATTTGTTGTTTTTGATATGCGTTGCGAAAACAACTCAAAACAACAAAACAGCGAAAAAGATGAAAAAATGGAGACACAAGATATCCATTTCAATTTGAACAAAGAAGAATCGACCATAAATATCAACAGGTCTGAAGACTCAACACGACCAAGGCTTGATTTGGAACACAACAAGTCACAAATATAACACAAAATGAATTTATCTTTTATTTGTTAATTTGTGTTATTTGTAAGTTGTATTGACTCATCAACTTGAATAAGAAGAATAACAACAAATCAATTCGTTTGACGTCTTACTGTCTCAATATCTGTCATAATAACAGTTGTAGTACGCAGACTGAAATACTAAATAACACGACATGAAGGCAACAAACCCATACAATAACAACGCAGAAAGTGCTCGATACCCCCATATCTTGATACTCTGATTTGATGAAAAGATGAAAAACAGCTGCACCATCCATATGACTGGAAAGACCCACCCAATCAAATACAACACTTTTGTAACTATGTGTGTGTCTTCTTGAGAACTGTTCTGTGTCACCAATGGTATTGTTTGTACTTGCTGCACTACTTGATAATGTGCATTTTGTGGCGGTATCGGGTACGAGTTTTGTGGAATGTAGTTTTGCGATTGTGTTTGGGTGTCAATGGGCACTTCTGTGTATTCCATTTTCGTATAAATTATTTAGATCCATAATTCTATTTATTGCACCAATATCGAAATTGATTCTTCTTTCAAAATTATTTCATATTCAAAATTCATGTTTTGAAATGTTATAGGGTCTTCCAAAACAGGATGGTTTAAAAATTAAATCAATCTTAACCAGTGTGTTTGATAAAATAGTGTCAAAATATATTTTACACTCAAGTCTGTCTATAAACGTAATGAGCTTGTAAAACGTTGTCCATGTGACAGAATTGTACACAAAAAAAGTTTAAAAATTTGGAAATTAGGAAAAATGTTGAAAACCTGGTAAAAATTGTGAAACAATGTTTTAGGATTGTTTTGAATTGTTCCCCGAAATATTCCAGTTTCAATGGTCTGAATATGAGCGGACAACGTTTTCAGACTGACTATATAATTATCACCAATTGGTCTTAAAATTGGGAAATTACAAGTTTATTAGATATATTTCCGGTTTTTTAAAGTTTATTAATAGACTAGCCAACCGCACTAAAATTAACCCCAAAATTTAATTTTTAAACCATTTGAGCATATTTTGACTTGTTACTTTTCTTTTTACTTAAACTAGTAAACAATAATAAATTTAGTCATATAGATTATACGTGCAAACGAAATAAAAAATGCTTTAATTCATATATTTTGGCTCAAAAGTTCGTTATTTTAATAAATAATAAAACAAATAAATAGAATGAAGTATTAAAATTATATGAGCAAAATATAACAAATATTCATTTTGGTAATAAAATAATAAATTTTATTGAAAAATCTGTACAACTTGTTGTTTTTGGCATTTTTTCAATATGTGTAAAATTGATAATCGAGTTTTTTTTCTCAAAAGCAAATTACCAACATCATGATATTCAATAACAACAACAGGAGATAAACAATAATTGGGATAATACATTAAAACAAACTTGTAAATTGGTTTAAAGACTGTTAAACGTTATTTCATATATTGTACAAAAAAATAAAATACATGTAATTTCAAAGAATGAAGTTTTTAACATAATAAACGATTGTGACATTAGATGAATTGAAAATCATGATAATTTAACTTAAATTATAAAAAGTATGAAATTTGCAAGTTATTATTCATTAGTTATGATCACATTGCATATGTTTTAATTGAAACGTTATTTTGAGAATGAACAACGATTTAAACATATAAGTGGTTAACATTTACGAAAAATAAACAAAACGTTATATTTTAAATTGATAAGTATTTAATTTATATTTTTGAAATAAAAGTTACAAATCATAGTCATTATACATTTTTACTGTTATAACATTGTAATTAATTGACTGCACAATAATTATGTATTTAATAATGTTGTAAAACCAATTGTTATATTCAATTTAGATAATATTAATGAAAATGATTATTGAAAATAATTTATAAATCACATCATTTATTAAAAAGACGATTACTTTTAAAGAATATATTCTTGGTAAATTTATATTGTTTTTGTTTCATACAGATTTATATTTTTTTTGAATATCAAAAAATATAATATTTAAAAAAATAATATTTAATAATCATGTGTTCCCAAAAACGTTTATTTTTTAAAATTTGAAATAAATAAAATGTTATTTAACTTTTGTTTATCGCTTCCAAATAATAATTAGTTTTTAATAATTTATTTGTAAAAGCAAAAGTTGGTTATATGTGTGGTCAACTTTGGTTTCGGCAAAAAGGAACGTTGCTTTAAAAATTCGGCATAATTGAAAATAATGGTCATCGGTTGGCCAGTCTATTTATTAAGTATGTATAAGTAATAGACTTCGAGCCTGCGCTTTTTATTACAAAAAAATGGTATTTCAAAATGCTATAAAAACGGGATGATATATTTTACCTGGTTCTTTGGCGTTTTTAATACTTATAAATATTAGTAAAAAAATGCGGGCCTGAAGTCTAATAAGTACCCAGATCAAAATGGGAAAAACATACATCTCAAAAAACCTTCGTTTTTGACAATGAAAAAATAATGGTAAAGACCAACAGAAAATAGTCGTACAGCAAGAAAATTGTCGTACACTTGTGATTTTAGTATCTAACAAACCAAAAAATCGGGAATATTTTTTCACATATAAAATTTGACTAAACAATCAGGAAAAAAATTGGGTTTTGAAAAAATATAAACTTGACTTTATACAGAAAAATACCTTAAAACAATGTGTACGACTATTTTCTGCTGTACGACAGTTTTCTCGTGCTCTTTAATCATTTTTTTTAAAAAATACTGATGTAGTGTTTTATAAAATCAAAAAGCAAATTGCAAATTATTGTAATTAATAAAATAATCTTTTGTTTATTGCTTATTTTTTTATTTTATGGCAATTTTATTTTGGAAGAAAAAAATGTAATAACAAAATAAAAAAAATAATTAATTCAGATGTTATTAAATTTAACAACAAAAAATAATTTCAAAAGCAAAAATGAGGCAGTTCGACATATTAATACATGTTTTTTTATTGTGGCAAAATATACTCAGTGGTATAAAAAACATTAATTAAAACAAAAATAAAAATATTTTATTTTTAATTTTTTAATATAAACAAATATACTACTGTCTTATAATTATCATTTAACTTTATATGTTATACATTAACTAATACACCCAGATTTTAATAATTAAAATTAAAATATTGTTTATCATTTTGTGCTTTAATTTGAACCAAACTAAAATAATAAACTTATTACCAACTTGTATTGTATTCGTTGCAATGAAAAATTGCTTTATACCTTCACCATAAACGATAATGTTGTTGTGAATTTCAAATGTTTCGATTGTGGCAAGTCTTGTTATATCCAGTTCACTGTTTTTCAAATGACAAATTAACACAAATTCAAAGAGTTAATTTTATCTAAGTGGTTCGTTGTGTGTCGATTAATTATGGCAATGTTAGCATAATTCACACAAATCGTTGATGGGCACCACGTAAGTTTTTCATGTTCCATTAATTACAAAATAATCAATTAGAGTAAAATAATTAAATTTGTTGAATTACATGATAATTCAATTAAACAATTAAAATGATAATAAAGTCGAAGTAGTTTACAATTTTTAAATTTTTTGTGTTGGTGAAATAATGAAAAATGTGTCATTTATAATATTTTTATATTTTTAAAAAACCACAAAGTATAAAATATAACAAATTTTATTTTTATTTTTGTTTTGTTAATATTTTTGTTTATAATGACAGTAACGACTATATGGTAAATATTCAAACACATAAACAAAAAAAGATCACAACACTCAATTATAAACACAAATGCTTTATTATGTTTCATTTAAATTATTTTTAATTATTTTTGTCCAAAAAAAGAATAAAATTTGTTTAACTGGCTGTTTTTTTCTTTTTGTAAAAAATAAATTAGATTCGGACCTAACCCCGGGTAAATTGAGACGTATGGGGAAAAACATCTAAAAACGACTAAATATCTTTTTAAAAATGGGTCAATTTTTAAAGGTCATTATTTTAACCTTACGAAGTGAAAACTGGATAATTTATATCCTTGATTTTTTTTACTTAAAATTACTCACTTTTTTTATTTTTGTATTTGAACTAAAAAGATCTTAAATTAAAAACGGCGTGTCACAAACCAATTTAAATAATGAAAAATTGATAAAAATCGAAGCGCTCTCATGAAAATTTATGTGTATGTCTCGTAACAACAAGTATTGACTATTTTGAACACATGGAAAATAGGAAACATGGGACTGTAAAGACCAGTAGTTTGCACGAAAACTAATCGATTTCGTGTTTTGAATTTATTTTTAACTATTCTAAAAATAAATTATGATATAGATTACAGTAGGAGGAAATAAGGCGATGCTAGAAAAAGGAGGATGCTCGCAACTATTGGTTATTTTATGTACAAAAAATAAAATGTACAAAAAATGAATATTCTTAACACTTCTAAAAG